GGGGGGGGGGGGGGGGGGGGGGGGGGGGGGGGAGCTCTTGCGTCTGAGCCACTCCCTGCTTTCCACAGTGGAGCGTTGAGGGCGATCCTGCCATGCTCTGCCTGCAGGATAGTAAATCAAAGCAGAGTCACACATCCACCTGAGCCGGGGGGGGGGGGTCAAGGGGGTGGGATTGGCAACAGCAGACGGTGGTGGTGGTGGGTTGTACATTTTCTGCTCTTTAGGACTGTCTAGAGGAGCAGTTGGAGGTAGATGCCAGGCAGTAGCAAATAATTTCATCCTGCATCCATGTCCAAAAGATTTCTACAGCAAGTATTAGGAATTCAAAAACTAGGAATGTGCCGTTACAGCGTAACGTGTTTTTTCCCCCCCGCAAAGCCCAGCAGGCTTCCGTGCCGTGAGCATGGGTCTCTTGGGTCTGCTCCAGAGATGACCAGTGTGCGTCCCGCCACTGGGGCGCCTTGTGTTGCCTGCAGTGACCACCCACTTCTGTCTTTTCCCCCCACAGTACCTGCTCCTGGCGACCCGCTTGAGAACATTGAACACAGCCTTGAAGAAGTCTGCTCAGGACTGTAAGGGCTCCCGAAGTCTTCCCTTTTGTATCCCTTGCCGCATCACCCTCCTCCTGCAGGTCTGTTTCCACAAGTTGGCACTTTGATATTTGACGAAAATGGTGGTGATCTCAAGGTTCTCCGTTTGGCAGTGGAAATGTTGCCGATGTGGCTGGTTCTGGTGGCCACAGAAGATGGTTTCGTTGCTCATCTGCTGAAGAAAACAGCGTGGGGCAGAACCAGTGAGCCAGGCCCATTGGTGCCACTCCTTTCTCTGGTTTTAACCTGCAAAACATCTGGACGCTTCGGTTTCTCTTTTATCATGCTGTAGTATTTGAGTTACACACAAATGGCTTGATGTTAATGCGCTTTTACTACAGCTAAGAAAAGCCCCCTGGCCAAAGGGATGAATGGAAGGGTGTTCTTACAGCCTTTTCCCCTTCCCCTCCTGCAGACTTCAGCGGGTTCCGAGAGGCGGGCACTTCTTGCCCCGCCTGCCTGCCTGCCGAAAGGGAGAGAGCAGCTAGATGGCTTCCCCAGCTGCAGTGTTCTAAAGTGGGAGACGATCGGCCTGCGGCTACCCTTTTCCCCATTGGAGTTGGGCAGGAGCCCAATGCTCCCGCATTGCCTGGGGGCTCCTCCCTCAGGGCCCTCTGCCTCTCAGGGTGCCTTCCCACACGGCCTCTAGAAAATAAAAGCAGGTTCAACACCCACCCCCTACCCACAATCCCCGTGTTGCCTGCTGGCTCTCCTCCTCTCTCTGGGGGAGCCTGCCAAACAGCCCATTTTCTGGGGATGGGATTCTCCAGCCGCCCCAGTTGATGATAGCACCTGGCAGGCAGAGAGATTCCCCTCCCACCCACCCAGGAGACTGGTGTGGCGGCACAGAGAGAGCGCCCAGCCACCTGCTTTTGTTTCTCAACTAGAAGAGGCTGCATCCCCACAGCCCTTTGTTGCCCCCCCCCCCGTGGTCTCCTTTTGGTAACCTCTCCGCCCTCCTCCTCCCTATGCCTGGAATGGACCTGAATCAAACAGCTGTTTTGTAGTTTGGCCTTTGTGATTTTCTTAAGCCTTGGAGAAGGGAGGGGCCTCTGTTGGCCACCTAATGTTTGTAAAAAGATTTGGAATGTTCCGACAACCTGAAGTTGCCTAGAAAATGCCCAGGTTGTGCTACTGACTTTGCTCCTTCTGGATTCCGTTTCACTGGCTTGTTTCCTCCATGTAACTGTTTTATTGAAGTAAAGAAACCACCAAGTGTATTTTGCAACAAGCACATCATGTGAATATCTCCTCCTTGGGGCACGCGGCCTGACCGATATGGTGGCGGAATCCCCATAGGGCCACCTGGCTCTGACGCTCGGCACCAATGAACCGTATTCCTGGAGCCCTGGCCGGATTCTGGTCTTGTGCCTTGGGAGCCCTGGGCCTGAACGGAGGCCATGGTGGTAAGACCTACCCTGCTGGTTTCCAGGCGCCCTCTTGATTTACCCCCGGCCCCTGTGGCTCTGGGGTGGCCGATCAGGGCGGAGGTCCCTCCCCACTAGCCCCAGCACTCCTGGCGGAAGCCGGTCCCCTTGTGAGGAGGAGGCCCCTGGATTCAGCTTCTTTATTCAACTCTGTCTTTATCAAAGGGTTCAGCTGAGAGACTGGAAAGCGAACGGGAAACGTTCAAGGGAAGCCAAGGGAACTCTTGGGACGCTGAAGGTGCCTGGCCAGAGAGAGCCCCCCTCCCGCCGGCCCTGAGCTTCTGGCTCTTGCCGCTGGGCGCCCTTTACAGAGCGCAGAGGGGAGCTGCAGCCTGGGCTGGGCGGCCTCTCCCGTCCTCGGGCCGCGGGAGTGGGGAGATGACGCCGCGGCAGACCGAAGGGAGCGCTCGGGGCTGGTGCGCCCGGTTCGCAGCCGCGCATCCCGACTGCTTTGGCCGAAGGACGAGCCAACCAGGCGCAGCTGGCGGGGGGGGCGAGGGCGCCGACGGGAATTGAAGTCCAGCTGCTGGCCCCGCCTCCTCGCTGTTGACGCTCCTCGTGGATTGGCGGGGCTTTGGACAAAGCTCATTGGACAGTCATCCCTAAGCGGCCCAGGATTGGCGCACAGGGGTGGGGGCTCGCGCGCGTTTGGATCCCGGCAACGCCCGTCACGGGTTGAGGGCTGCGTGCGGAAGCCCTCGGCTCAGCGGCTCGGATTGGCCCTCGGGAGCCGCCCGCCTTCTCCTTGGTGGGCGGGGCCGCCTCTGCCGCCCCGCGTCCAGTCCCGAGAAGCCGGAAGCGAAGACGCGGCCGTTCGGGATGCGGGTGACGGTCGACTTCGAGGAATGCCTGAAGGACTCGCCCCGCTTCCGGTAGGCGCCTCCCCTTCCCGGGCCGCGGCTGGCTTGGCGCCGCCGCCGCTGCTCACGCTTCCTCCGGAGAGGGAGAGCCCCGTGCAGTGCCGCGCCGAGGCTGCAGGAGGAGCTGGGGGAGGCCACTGGGGGGCTCCGGCGGGGCCTCCCGGGGCGAGGCAGGCGCTTCCTCCCGCTCCGGGGCGCGACTAGAGGACCCTCGGCGTCCCCCGGTTCCTCAGCTGCACGGCACGGGCCTCGGACGCCGATTGCCCCGCTTGCTTCCGTGGGAGACATCGCTGCTTCGGAGTCGCCCCGGCTGGGATCCAAAGCGAGCAAAGGGTCAGCCGCACCGACGTCCAGGCCGAGCGCCGGTCGCCTCGGCCCGCCCCCGCAATTGGGCCCCTCCGAAGGGGGGGAGAAGGCCCGAGACCCTCTCCCCCCCCTCCGCCGAAGCTTCTGCTTGGGGTGCCTTTTTCAGCCGGCCAAAGGGTCCCCTCGGGCCAGCAGGGCCCCTTTCTTCCCAGCCCCCCGGTTTCAGCGTTTAACGGGAGGCCAGAACTCGGCGGGCGCTTCTTGTGAAGGGGGGGGCAGGGGCGTTGGTGGCATCCAAGCCACGGAGGGAGCGTGTCTGGCCATCTCCAGGACTGGCCTGGGCTCCCACAGTGGCTTCCATCTGCTTAGAAAGAAAGCTCCGACTCCCTTCTACAAGTGTCTTTTAGTGTAGGTAATAATTGGGAATTTCAGGAAGACGACACCAATGGATCCCTTTGAAATCTCCTGTTTCCTCTTGCAGGGCTGCCCTAGAAGATGTGGAAGGAGACGTCACTGAGCTGGAGCTGAAGCTGGACAAGGTGAGCCCTCCGGTGCCCCTCCTGGAAGGTCTCCTCAGGATGCTCTGGGACCGGGAGTGGGGGGGAGGGGGGAGATGGTCCCTTGCCCACTGGAGGCATCTGGAGGCTCTGCCCACCATTGCTTTTCTTTCCGCCTCGTGACTCTCTCTTTTAATTCTGGGCCTTAAAGCCTCTGTATTCCAAGGAAAGTGCTGGGCTCAACCCCTCCTCCCTTTGGCAGACATCGGTTGCGTGTTTTCTTCTTTGAATCCTCTTTTGGAAAGAAAGAAAGATAGACGGGAACCCCTTTCTGGCAAGTTGTATGCTGGTAGTAGTACCAGTACTCTGCTTACGGTCAGAGGGCAGAACCTTCCATAGGTCACTTAGAATTGGATGTGGCATCCTCACATCCTATTCTTGACACATCCTCAGAGTTTGCCTTCTCGTTGCTGTTCAACCTGGAGCCCCGTTTGTGGGGAGTATTTGCAAGCAAAGATCTTTGTCCATAAAATTGGTGCCCGTCCAGTTAAATAACGGATAGAAGGTGCTTGATTTATTGATGACCATAAATGTAGTTCAATTGGACCATCTCTTTGGTACTTACAGTAAAGCAGCAGTTCACACAAGCGTAACTGAACTCACGGGAGGCCCAGGCTTGAGTGGCAGCCCCTCCAAAGAATTCTCATTTCCAAATCTAACCCTTTCGTTGAATTCCTCCATATGTGGGGGACCCTCTCAGGTGGCACATTCTCGGCGGACAGATTACACATGGGCCGGGCAATGCCAAAGATGGCCAGGTTCCAATCCACGTAGGGCTTCCTAGGTGATTCATTCTACCTTCCATTGCACAAGTGGTGAGTGTGGCAGGAATAAGTGTGATCTACGAACACACAGGAGGCCCTTTCAGTTGGGCCCGTTCAAGGGTGTCCTGGGGATCAGTGGCTGTTAGCCTTGCAGCACAACTGCTTCTGAAAGCTGCCAGCTGGGAAGCTAGTGTGGGCCTCCTTGGGCAAGTACTGATAACCCTGCTGGACTAGATGGGTCAAGGGGCTGATCCAGCAAGGCTCTGCCTATTCTCCCGCTCTTAAGTACGGCCTTCAAGGGCGGCCTTGTGTGGCGTGTGTTACGGTGCTCCAATCAAAGGGGGGCAGCGTAAATGACTGGAGGGAGGAGTTCCCTATTCCAGGAAGGTTGCCACAACCGGCTGCAGCCAGGCGAAGGGCTCCTGACCACAATTTCCACCCTGCTAGCCGTGCAGGATCCGCAAGTGGAAAGCCCGGCTTTCACCCGGGACACAGCCTCCCCGAGGACCAACACAGGAACCACCTCAGGATCGGTCAGCCTGTGGATTACTATCCACTCTGCTCCACTTGGTTTTAGCCCGAGCCTGTGAGCAGCTGCCAAGACTTCTGCGCTTCCAGGGTGGTGCAGGGTGGAGACACTGAGTAACTGAGCTTCTGGTCTCCCGCATGTTGATGATGCCTCCCTCCGGCTTGTGAGATGTGCTCTCCAGCAGCCGCTCTGCCCCTTGGAGCCACTGCCCTCCTGTGTGTAGGAGAAAGAGGTGTGAGGACCCCAGGGGTGGAGGAGTTGCAGCCTTGGCCGAGGCTCTGGAGGGGAGCCCTGGGCCTGAACGGAGGCCACCGTAGTAAGCCCTGGCCTGCTGGCCTCCAGCCTTGCCCTTTCGTACTGAGCTCTCTCTTTTCTGTTCTAGTCTATGTCTCCCCCGTCCCCCCCAGGATTGGAGGCAAATGCAGACAGACAGAGGCTTCCCCTATGGCCCAGGCCCATGGAAAGGCAGCCTCCAAGGGAGTTTCTCCCCACTGCTGCTTTCTGTGCAGCTGGCAAGTCTCAGATAAGCCGTCCTTTCCCTCGGTGGTGGCCCGGCTTTTACGTCCCACCACCTTAACCTGACAAGAAGTAAGCCACCCGGCAGCGGTGCCAGTCGGGCTTCCAAAAGGTCCACCCTTAAACTCTAGGAAGCCTAGAAGGGACTGGTGAGAGTTCTGCCCTGCTTTGGCGCCTGAAATGCGCTGTCTGGAGAGAGAGGGGCGCATTCGGAAATGCCGGCCGCTTGTTCCTTCATTCTGGCCCCAGGAGTCCAGGGAAGCTTTGCTGTAAACCTGTCAAAGAGAACCAGGCCCAGGACAGAGCCTGAGACGCTGCGGGTGCCTCCTCCTCCGCAGGTCCTTATAGACTGCCCTCGGGTGGGAGGCTGTTCGCTGGTGGCAAATCCATCCGGGGTGAAATCGCCCATCCCACTTTGCTCCGTTTCATCTGGGAGGCGGCCATGCCTGCCTCCCCTTGCTGGAGTCTCTCTCTAGGCTGCCCCTTCAGGTGCTGAGCTGCCCTGTACGGTTTCCAAGAGGATATCGGGTCCCGCACGCTCTGGAGGAGGAGCTCTAGAGCGCCGATTATGGCCAGATACCCTCCGTGTTTGTCTGGCGTCTACACAGAATGGCGGAAATTCTGGCAGGCCTTTCCTGCCCTGATTTATAGGGAGCTAATTGGGACATCCTCTCCTCCATTGGAAGGGCTTGGGGCCTGGGCCAAGTTGCTGCTTGTTGTCCCCCGACTGGCTCGGCCCCTGGCTTCTTCCTGTCTCCCCTCCCTGTCGTTCCTCCCCCGGCATGGAGGGTTTGTGGCCGAATTGCGGTCCTTCAGGAATCAGTGAATTGCGTTGTCCTACAATGAGACTCTGAACCGCTACCCAGAAGTCAATCAGCCCCCCCGGTCCCCTTCATTCAACTTGGGGGCTGTCCTGGACTCTGGGAGCTGCTGGTTGACTGGGGGCCTCTCCTGGGCCGCTTCTGCTGGGGGGAAGAGGGGGAGGGAGACTGTGGTGACCACGACAGGCAGGGTCACAGCCCCCAGCAGCTGCTGGAGCATCTTGTGGTTATCCAGTACAACAAACGTATGTAGTCAGTCTAAATATTAAAAAGGGTTGTAAACAATAAGCCTGCATTGTTTTTAAAAATAAATCCTCCAGATGTTGGACAGAGACATCATTGGACTTTAAAACCCACAAAAGGAGGAACAGGGATGGTGGGGCGTAAAGGGATCTTCCAGGACTGACAGAAATATGTCAAATCAGGCTTCCTTGAAAGGGGGGGGGGGTGCACACAGGAATCCCCAGATTGGCTGGCTGCCTCTGAAGGGGTGAGGGGCAAGGAGCATTCACTCGGTGCCCTCAGGCTGAGAGATGATGTGTCACAGCTGGACCGGATCTGAGACATTTTTGGGGGGGGGGGGAGTGAGCTGCTCTGTTTCTCTCTGTCTCTCTCTCTCTCTCTTTCTCTTTCTCTCTTTCTCTCTCTCTCTCTCTTTCTCTGCCTGCAGCTCTCTTGCAAATGAAGCTTAGTTGGGCCCCGGCTTCCCCTTTGTGGCAGATGGATGAGTCACTGTGGCCCCATAAGAAAGAAGTGGCAGAAAAGGAGAAGTTCCCCTTTGAAAACGGCATGGGAGCCCAGAATGAAGGAAAAGGCCAGGCTCAGCCCTTGCGGGGGGGGGGGGGAGGCGAGCCCCCTGGGGTCTTCAGTCGTCTCTCTCTGAGTTGAGCTTGGCTTTCCAGGGTGGTGCCCAGGGATGCCCTGCTTGGGATTTTGCCAGCAGGAGAGCTGAGTGAGCCTCTTGACTTGACTTGACTTAAGTCTTTAGCGTCGGTACGGCATCGCCAATCCCTTCGCTGTAGAGTCGCATGCATCCCGAATCAACGGG